CCAAGCGTCTCCGTTGCCTTCTGTTTTCTGCCAACTTTTTCACTCCGTTCCAAGTTTGCCCACACGCTTTCATCTCCTCTTCACATGACCTCCTCCAAGTCACCCTCACACTGACGACCAACTCGCCGCTTACCTTTCGGGTTCCACTCGAGCAATGACTTGTCTAGTGATGTCACTTGATGGTTTCCTCAGTGTATGTTCAATCCATCTCCATTTCTTCCTGCCTATTTGTTTCACAATGGATTCCTGGTTGGTTCGCTGTCAGAGATCCCTACCTGTTGCTGATCTTTTCTGACCGGCCATCTGATCTTGAGTATTGAGCGAAGACAGCTGTTAATGAAGGTTTGAAGTTTGTTCGAGATGCTCTTTATGACGCGCCCAGTTCAACATCTACCTAGGGCTTTAATTTTGTAGAGGTTTCAGTGGCAGCGATGTTGCTTAGGGTCTCTAGTGTCACACTCAACCTCCCTTCTTTGTTGATTTAATGCTATCGGGCAAGACAAGTGATGTTAAGGATTACGTCAGACGAAAATCTAACCCTAAACTCCTGATTGGCTAGTGAACATTCTTCCATAGAATCACAGAATTAGCTACGTTCGTTCGTTCGTTCAGTTAATATATTTGGCCTCACATTCATCATAACTTCGCGTTAAGTAAACAAAGTTGCTTTTCCTTGACTGAATCACTGGAATGATTAAGGTGACGAAGCTGATGTATCAGTCAGTTTGTAAATTTAACTGTCATCTCAATTTCAATTTTATTAAGAATTATACATAGATTTTCAGGCGTTTTTTTCTTTTTTCTATGACAGTACTATTAAGACTTTAAAGTCTCTCATTATTTACATTATCAGTGTTATATATAAGTGGATAGGATGATCTGCTCAAACAAAACAGGTTTAATGATGGCTGGCTTAGGTCAATGGTTTACCTTAATTTTCTATTCATCCAAAAGCATCCTATTAACTCCATATGTCTAGGAATCGCAATATATACTCAGGCACATATTCAAATAGCTTCCAGTCTACTGGTATACTTTTTCTTACATAACTGGAGGAGAAACACTGTGAATTTTTAAACAATACCTCGACTAAAATGATGTAGCTTCAGTCAATATATTATTGTTTACACAAGGAGTAAATAAATACCTAGCAATAAGAGATTTAATCTGATTAGTCACTAGTCAGTGATTAGCGTAATGTGTCTACTCCTTTCTTTGTTTAATGCAGACTGAATTCTATCACTCAAGTTTGCAATTTAGCCACCATTCTAGGTGACAAGGCATCATTCTGAATTTTTAGTATTAGGTGGTTAGAGGCAGTCGGCAGGAATCCTAGTTTGACCCGGGTTTAGCGCGAGTTGCAATTTTCAGCAAGGTGAATCTGCAAACTTGAAAAAAATCTATGTCCACTATAAGATTCAAATGGGCCTCACTCAGTAGTGCAGTAGGAGACCTTACCATTGAGCTACTCGGATCCACGGTTGATCCCCTGTAGGACTGTATTCTATAATTTGATTTGACACCAGCCAGTAACTTGTGTCTGGGTGACTTGGGTTCAGTTCTCAAAAGAGACATAAGTTCCTTCATTGTTGCTAATATGTCTTGCTGACGAGTGCAACTTCAGTCAAACTAGCCTTCCTGCCAATTACCTACACCCATCTAAATAATAAGGAACTTGCTGAATAATTTTATACTATGCACAAACGCAGCTTTCTGAATAAAGCTATTGTTATTTTATAATGTATTATATGACACTAAAAACTCCAATAGCACTGGTTGCCAAATTTGTCTATATTCTGACTTTCATTTCAATCTTAGTCACCAAATCTATAACCTAAATGTGTATAGCTGTTACAATCACCTTAACACATGTCTTGCTTAGATAATTCTATTGAAATTCTGAACATTCATGGACTATAATTTTAGCGTATGTTTAAAATGTAACATGCTGAAACTCATGTTAACTAGATTTAATCATACCTTCCTAGACAATTATGTACACAAGTTTATATGATATTACCACAATAGAAACGTTCAGAGAATAGACGGAAGAGTGTATGTATCTCACGTTCACTGAACACGTATAGAAAAGTCTGCGATTAAGAAAAAGTAAATCTTTGAGTAGTGCAGTCACGTGATATCTGATAAACCTATTAAATTCCTTCACGATAATAATAAGCAAACAAGCAGGCTCAAGGCTATTGAAGTTCATAAAGGCGATTGCTCTCAGATAGTTAAAATTTCATTTATCTTTACTCCAAATTAAGACGAAGTAAATCCCCCTCCCTCTAGCTTGGTAACTTTGGAATCCTAACCTTTAGTGGATTATATCATATTTTATTAAGTGTAAATGATGAATTCACTTCATCTACACAAACAGTTACGTTACTACTTGGTAAACACTATACTTCATGTGAATGATAACCGACCAAATGAGTTTTACTAGCAGTGAGTGTAAACAATTTAGTGTGATGATACCCGCTGTAGACGGTCATAAATCATAAATCGGTTAGATTTGGAAATGAATAAAGAAAGGTTGATATAAGGTTCAACGGCTTTTTGTAGACATTTGATTCCTTTCAAGTTTGACCACGAATTGATATCAGCTGGTGAAGTACTGAAAAGCAGCACGGAGTACTAGGCAGCTGATTTTTTTCCCTGATATCAAGCTACGGTCAGACTTGAAACAAATCAAATCCGTAAACACTAACTCTTGAAAATAAATCTGATGCTTGCTAGTGACTGGCTGTGGGAGAAAGTGGTCTGGAGGTCTAGTGAGAAACTGTGGTCAGTGGAGTTTATCCGGTCAGGAGTGAAGGCGAATACTCGCCAGTGATGATACTGTCTGGTAGTTGCACTAAAATCACCAATTGGTAGAAGTTAGAATTCATGTGCTACCAGTTGCTTCAGGTCGCAGTGGGTAAATGGTCTATGAGCTTGCCTTATAACCGAAAGATCTTGGGTTCGAAACTCATTAGGTGCGTACTACCGATGAGTCTCTGAGTAGAACGGAACAGTTGCCCACTATCTCATGTTTTTCAACGGTTCTCTAATTAACATCAACGTGTGACAGAACATGAAATAAAATTCAATAGAAATTCGTAAATAGAAGGTAGGAAGAAGTAGTATATTCAGAAATGCGAATGTATGAACTTGTCATGTTCTGATGCAATAAGATGAGAAAATAAGTGAAGTGAAGTTTTGGAATGTGATAACGTCAACCGCAATAAGACAAAACAAAATTGAAGTACATGGAAAAGAGAAGAATGGAAAAGCATTGTGAATCACACGATAAAACTAAAATCCTTAACAACGAAAGAGATCGTACAAATTCTTTATATACATAAACGTATTGCTTTATTTTATGAATTGCTAAGGCTTTAGATATAAAATGTGAATGCATTCGTTTTCTTTTTTAGTAAACGTCGTCGAACCTTACAGACTGTTGGGGGCCTGCTAAAAACATGGGCTACGAAAACATTGCATCACTCTATTGCTGCATATATTTTCGCTCGTTCGGTTTGTTTTAATAAGATATGACCTCTAAAGGTATTATCACCTCCAGTATGTATTGAAAGTGTTCACAGGCTTCTGATTCTCAACTTCCTACTGAACTTCAGGAATGGCCTGTTTGTAGCTGGCAATGTGTCCCAGTGCATGAGATTACTGTTCTTCAGTTGTGTCTTTGCGTCTCAAAATGTACTTCTGAAAACATCTTACAATTAGCTTTCAAATATATATCGAGGATTTTTTTGAAGGATACAAAACAGGTATACCATAATGGAGTGGTTTGTGCTTCGGCTGAGAGAGCATGTACCTAGCTCCACAAAAGCACGTGAACATATAAATATGCGATGAAACTGGACAATAAAGGTGAGATTAACACTAACACTGAGGTAGAGTAGACAGCTAGGTTAGGTTATTTGCAGAGTGGCAAGAAAAATATGTTTTCCTTCATGAACTATACAAGTGGTTTTAAGGACTTCGATTGATGTTTTACCCATTAAATTCTAAGTTTAACAAGATTTTAACAGACACAGACATAACAAGACTACTTATTATTGTCTATTGTAATTCAAATACAAATACTATTATAAAGCTATAGCAACGAAATATTCGAATGAAGAAATTCCCTCGCTGAAATCTTTGTGTTTCAGTGAAAATTATTAATTTTCCTAGTCACTTAAAGTTTTCCCGTTTAATTATGCCCATCAATATCACATTGGTACACTTAGTCGCTTTTTTTGTTACAAATCTCTGACTTCACGACATATATACCATTAAAACAATTTATTGTACCTTGCCAATTTAACACTTTAATGCATCTATATACATTCCATGATTATTCTCAGCTATTGTCTGACATTTTGTTTCTGTAAAGAATTAAATTACATTAAAATTGTGATCATAAATCTATTAATGTTATTGTGGTCGATAAAGACTTGCAATGAAATCCAGGGTGAGCATTTCATTTTTTTGGGGGACTCATTAGCTAATTGTACCTGTGCTCCCAGTGAATGACCGATGCCCGGGGGTCAAGTCTCAAAAGGAGTACCATCTCTCACAAGGACTGCAGATACATCCAGGCAGCGAGTCCCAAACATGACGAAATACGCATCTTGAATTCCACTGCTAATCAATGTCAACGCTGAAATAATATAACGTTAATTAATTCTATATTAGTTTGATTATTAAATGTTTCACTGTGTGATACATTTAATAATCAAACTAATATGGAATTACTTAATACCACAGTGCCCAAGTTTTACACATATAATAACGTTAATTAATTATCAGACATCGGCAAAACATCCCTATGAGAAACAAGCATATGCAAAAACAGACTAATCATTACAAGAGAATACAGTCAGTTAGCGAGAAGTACCGAGGAATCAGGAAAATGGTTCATTCATGCCCTTCCTCTATGTATTCTTAGTGTTTATTTCAAAATTATATAAAGCGCGAAATTTAAACATGAAATCAACTGAACACTAACTTACCGACTGTTCGAACTTTTCAGTACACTTTTCAATATTTGAAAGCAAAGTGTTCTTGGTTAGTGTAGAGTACACCACCGGTAAATATACAAATGTCTTTTTTTAACCCTTTACTAAAAATGGGTACGAATGTTTTGTATTTACGTGCTTTTTTTCTTTTGGTTAGGAGTATTAGATGATCGGTGACCGATCAACCAAGAGTGTTTGAAAATAGTAAGTTTTCGTCTCCTCTAATAACCAGTTATGATTATTATTATTATTATTATTATAAATGGTTTTGGTAGTTTTTGTGTCGATGTCCTTCTTGTACTGTCAAGAAGATGAATATTTATTTGTTTATTTATTTATTTTGTTTTGTTTCGGTTTGGTTTGACTATGATTATGCGAATTGAGATGGTGATGGCGTGGTTGTCTACACATACACATGAAGCCAAAACACAGTCATAGTAGTTATCTATCTACCAATCTATCTATATTGTTTCATTAATCGTTATGCATATAGGAAAATTACTTTTGTTATGATTGGCTGGCTGAGAAAACGTTTACTTTTTTCTTCTTCTGTAATTGACCAATCATAAATGGAGTTTTATTCAACTTGCCATGGCTATTACTCGGTATGTATCAATTATTTTTGGCGGGGGAGGGGATTACAATGGGATTGATTTCTCAAGGGATCAGACAGATGGATGGATGTGTGCGTGCGTGCGTGCGTGCGTGTGCGTTTATGTCTTTCTATGTGTACTTCTGTATGTATACATGACTAATTGGCATAATGAACATTCCATTCCATTTCAAACTTGATGATGATCAGTTCTTAACCTACTTACTTACTTACTTACTTACTTACTTACTTACTTACTTACTTACTTACTTACTTACTTACTTACTTACTTACTTACTTACTTACTTACTTACTTACTTACTTACTTACTTACTTACTTACTTACTTACTTACTTACTTACTTACTTACTTACTTACTTACTTACTTACTTACTTACTTACTTACTTACTTACTTACTTACTTACTTACTTACTTACTTACTTACTTACTTACTTACTTACTTACTTACTTACTTACTTACTTACTTACTTACTTACTTACTTACTTACTTACTTACTTACTTACTTACTTACTTACTTACTTACTTACTTACTTACTTACTTACTTACTTACTTACTTACTTACTTACTTACTTACTTACTTACTTACTTACTTACTTACTTACTTACTTACTTACTTACTTACTTACTTACTTACTTACTTACTTACTTACTTACTTACTTACTTACTTACTTACTTACTTACTTACTTACTTACTTACTTACTTACTTACTTACTTACTTACTTACTTACTTACTTACTTACTTACTTACTTACTTACTTACTTACTTACTTACTTACTTACTTACTTACTTACTTACTTACTTACTTACTTACTTACTTACTTACTTACTTACTTACTTACTTACTTACTTACTTACTTACTTACTTACTTACTTACTTACTTACTTACTTACTTACTTACTTACTTACTTACTTACTTACTTACTTACTTACTTACTTACTTACTTACTTACTTACTTACTTACTTACTTACTTACTTACTTACTTACTTACTTACTTACTTACTTACTTACTTACTTACTTACTTACTTACTTACTTACTTACTTACTTACTTACTTACTTACTTACTTACTTACTTACTTACTTACTTACTTACTTACTTACTTACTTACTTACTTACTTACTTACTTACTTACTTACTTACTTACTTACTTACTTACTTACTTACTTACTTACTTACTTACTTACTTACTTACTTACTTACTTACTTACTTACTTACTTACTTACTTACTTACTTACTTACTTACCTACTTACTTACTTACTTACTTACTTACTTACTTACTTACTTACTTACTTACTTACTTACTTACTTACTTACTTACTTACTTACTTACTTACTTACTTACTTACTTACTTACTTACTTACTTACTTACTTACTTACTTACTTACTTACTTACTTACTTACTTACTTACTTACTTACTTACTTACTTACTTACTTACTTACTTACTTACTTACTTACTTACTTACTTACTTACTTACTTACTTACTTACTTACTTACTTACTTACTTACTTACTTACTTACTTACTTACTTACTTACTTACTTACTTACTTACTTACTTACTTACTTACTTACTTACTTACTTACTTACTTACTTACTTACTTACTTACTTACTTACTTACTTACTTACTTACTTACTTACTTACTTACTTACTTACTTACTTACTTACTTACTTACTTACTTACTTACTTACTTACTTACTTACTTACTTACTTACTTACTTACTTACTTACTTACTTACTTACTTACTTACTTACTTACTTACTTACTTACTTACTTACTTACTTACTTACTTACTTACTTACTTACTTACTTACTTACTTACTTACTTACTTACTTACTTACTTACTTACTTACTTACTTACTTACTTACTTACTTACTTACTTACTTACTTACTTACTTACTTACTTACTTACTTACTTACTTACTTACTTACTTACTTACTTACTTATGTAGACATGTGTAATGTTTCGAAGGCGTTAAATTTTTTTGTTTTTGTGTGAGTGTGCGTTTATGTGTGTGTGTTAATTTGTTCGGTGTGTATGTGAGCGTTGACAGGTTCATATTTCTGTGTATTACACAAATCACGATGTAGCGCATACATTCGACATACCAGTGGTTCTCTAAATGATGTCAGCTCATGATGAAATCCTCCCTGCAATCAAACAAAATCCCTAGCTAACTCGCTAGCCTTGTAACCAGAAGGTCCAGGGTTGAAACTCTGGCAGTGGGTGCGTACTGATGAAGAGTCCCAAACTAGCCTGACGAAATAGCCGTCCAGTACTCTCAGGTTTTCCAGTCAACTCATAATGAAATCCGCCATGCAATCGATAGCCCAGATTTTAAGCAGTCCTCCAATGTATTGATTTTATGGGATTAGAGATTGTTAGGTTCGCATACAACCTTTCCTCCTTCTTGATCATACTACCAACTAAGCACTGTTTGGGGGTGCTTCAGTTGGTAATCGAACCCCTAAACACGCACACGGCTGGAAGGCATCTTACCCCTGAACCACTGACTCACTGGCATAGGAAACGGTCAGTAGGAACAGCTCAGTGATAACTTCTCTGAATGTAGCACTTATTGACGCAAATTCATATGTCAGGAGGGGTAGAAATCAGTACCTTCAAGGTTTCAGACGGGTGTCAATAAGCATTAAACAAACATCAGAAAGAGAGACGGATGTGGAATACTATGACTAGGAGAAAATGTGCTGCGTAGTTTCGGTATGATTCAATTCGACGAATATGTCGGTTAGTCGTTGTCAATTATAGTCATTTCGAATAAGAAATATAAACAAAATGGATGACATATCCTTCTCATTGCTTTTTTACCATTCGTATATATATATATATATCACTTTCAAATGTCAAATCCCCTAAACGACAACGAAAATAAAGCTGAAGAATTGAAATGAATCATTTCTGATAATCGGTACAATGACAATACCGTCTACTTGTCATTTTTTTACACCGTGTCATTCTCCCTTTTTTATTTATTTTTTCATTTTAACCCATTAATCATCCAACGTTTCCTATGGCTTGATAATTTTTAGCATTTACAGAGTGAAAATATCATAATTCTGTCAAGTTCTACACTTGAACTGAGAACACCAAAAAGTTATAAGTTAGACAGTTTTGTGTTGCTACTCATTTGCTGACATTTGACGTTATTTGGGAGGAGCTCGAACAGAGGACCTAAAGCACGAGTGACATGAAGAATGAGAGGGTAAACCACATCAGACTTCATGAAGGACTAGCCCTAAACTGAGCTAATGGGTGGTGGTTGGAGAGGAAATGAAAATCTGGTTGACTCCAGGATTACAACAAGTTACCTGCGAACTAATGATCTGGTGCCGTAACAGCTGTGCTTTAAGATAAAGCTGCTGAACAGGTCAATATATGTATGAAACGTGAGCACTGAGGAAATGTGCAATTCCATAATAATTTCTCTATTAAATATATCATATAGCGAGACAGCAGTATTTGCTGGATGACGTTTTGAAAACAACTTCTTATTGTTCAATATCATATCTTTGCTATTTTTTAAAACATGGAAAATTCCCATTGTAACATATATTCTTATAGATAAGAATATACATTCAAATCCTATAAAACGTGACTTATCAACCGTACTCAAGAAAATACTATACATGAGCTTGGAATTCAAAGGGCACTTAGCCTCCGATACCATGAAAACAAGGATATTACAGTCCCTGAAAAGAACATTCCCTGCTGCATCTGTGAGAATAGCCTTTACTAGTCGACCATTACTGTTCAGTAACCTGAAGGACAAGATCCCGTTGTTGACCAACTCTATGTGCGTTTATCAATTCACCTGCTTATATGGAGCTAGGAATATCGCTCGTTTGGCTCGCATTTTGTCCAAGAGAGTCCAAGAAAACTATCTCCCTGCATGGTTACGAAGAAGTGGAAGTGTAGCAATAAGAAGCGCTATCATTGAACATCAGGTCGATAATGATTACCCTATCTATATAGCCTCCGCCTTTAAAGTCATTTACAAGGCAAAGAGTAATTTACCCAAATCACTACGTATCCGACCCATCTGTATTGCTTAAGCTTTGGCTATCGAAACAGAAAAGCCAGATCTCTGTGTACAGAAAAAGTCAATTCAACCCCTCCAACTTTCATGGTCTTAATCTCTCTATGTTAAAGTATGGTAATCCTCAATCATATTTTGGCACTACCAATTTTTCATTTTATCTATTCAATTTGTATACTCTTCCTTTATTACTTCAACTGTAAGTATTACTACGCTCACTTTGAACTGTCCCCGGTATTATTTCAATTGTTCCACTTGTCATTCTAAATCAATTCTTTTTTACAACGTTAAATTAAATGCTATCAAATTTCACACAGTATTACGTAACGTTTTTATTTTATTCGATTTGTCTACTAATCCTATAATTGCATAGCCTTTTTCACGTTCTATCCATCATATGAATTTTTCTGTATATGACATTAATTTGCTTTGCCAGTTGACATTCAACTATGATTATAATCACAAACATTTTAGTTTTTAATTGAATATCATACTATTATTATTATTTAATTCATTCACACCTATGATTCAATTCCCTCACCGGATATAACTTCTTAAAAACCAAATGTATATACGATTGTACAGCTTGATGATAAATTCGTTGTTGAAAAGAGTCTCTTTGCTGAATCACTTGTTTTTGATTTTCTATATGTTTCTAAGGGAGTTTTCCATGAGGTCATTATTTCACTCTAATTATCAATCGTAACACATGGCTGTCAAATGGATCATTGATACATTACTACCTGCCAATCATTTCAGTAGATGCCAATCTTTGTCTTCTTCGGTAAATTTTATTTATACTAAACTAAAATTTGAAGAGCTAGTTGGCACTCGATAGTGAAGCTTTTTGAGATTGACTTGAAATTCCAGAGTGTTACT